CTAACTCCTTGCCTGATGCCTCTGATGTTCTCTGTGAAAGCTTCTTGAGATATTTCAGTGACAAAATTACTAACTTAAGAGTTAGTGTCTGCCCCACTTTAACTGTCTCTCCAACCCTGTCATCTGCCTCTGCCTTTTGGGATGCTTTCAAACCTATCAATTTCCAGGCATTGAAGGAGGTGATTGACAAGCTCAAACCCTCATTTTGTTCTAACGATATTATTCACCCGAGATTCTTAAAATTAATCATTGATTCAATTGGACCTGGTTTGGTGTCTCTTATCAATAAGTGTCTCCAAACTGGCGCTGTCCCTGCCAGTCTTAAAGTGGCTACAGTCACTCCCCTACTCAAGAAGCCTTCACTTGACTCTTCTGTTCTAAAAAATTTTAGGCCAATTTCTGTCTTACCTTTCATTTCTAAGGTATTGGAGAAAATTGTGCTGGATCAACTTCAACATTTTTTGACAAGTAATTGTATTTATGAGCTTTTTCAATCTGGTTTTAAGTCCTCTCACAGCACTGAGTCTTTCCTTCTTGAGAGTGTTAAACGATATTTATCTCTCCACTGATTCTGGAGACTCTGTGGTTCTTATTCTTTTAGATTTATCGGCCGCTTTTGATACAGTTGACCACTCCACACTATTATCCAGACTAGAGTCCTGGGTGGGTCTAAAAGCTACCGTTCTTAATTGGTTTCAGTCATACCTGTCTGACAGAAAGATTTTAGTGAAGCTGGGTAATTTTACCTCTTCCAATGCACCTCTGACCTGTGGCCTACCGCAAGGCTCTATATTAGCTCCTTCTCTATTTTCTCTCTACATGCTACCTCTGGGCTCTATTCTAAGGAAACATGGTGTCTCTTTTCATTTCTATGCAGATGATACTCAAATCTATCTACCAATCAAAAGAAACAATTCCGCAGCGATTACCTCTCTTCAGCAATGCTTAGAGGAGGTTAAATTATGGCTCGCCCAAAATTTTCTCTCCCTAAATGAAGACAAGACCGAAGTAATTGTTTTTGGTTCTAATGAGAATTCTCAGTATATA